TTTTTGGGTTTTTTTTTTTTTTTTTTTTTTTTGCTTGGAGTCCTTGGGTGGTGCAAACAGCTAACACACTTGACCGCTAGCCAAAAGGTTGGTGGATGCAGTCCACCCAGAGGTGCCCTGAAAGAAAGGCCTGGCAATCTACTTCTGAAAAATCAGCTATTGAAAACACTATGGAACACAGTTGTACTCTGACACACGTACAGTTGCCATGAGTCTGAATCGACTGGAAGGCAAATGGTTTGGTATTTTGGTTGTCATGATGGGGGACAGGGTGCTAAGGGCATTTAACGAGCCGGGAGCACTGATGCTAGACATTCTATAACCTGTGAGATGAATGCACACAACAAAGAATTGTCCCACATCCTGCTTATGGCTATTCGAACGTAGAATCAACTCTGAATTATATGGAAATTCAAAGTTTTCTTTGTCTGATTTTAATACACTTACTTTTCCAGGAATGTAACAAGTGTGTATGCTGAGGAGAGACTATTTTGTTTTGTTTGGGACACCGTCAAAGAGTTGTTCGCCACACTGGAAAATCATGGTCCCTGACAGAAGCACTTTTGGAGTGTTGGGGCCACCAAATCGACATGCCTGTATCAGTCCGTACTTGGAGATGTGGCCTTCAGTGGTGATTCTATTTATATGTGATTCTATGACTACTTGCTCTGTCTTCTAGTATGCTTGTGCCTGAGTATTTCCTTATTGAAATACATATCTTTTTATTGTAAATTTATTTCCTCTTATATTACAGTTGCAACATTATATTGATTTTTGAAAAATTGTTTAGATAGGTTACACTATCTACATATAACATTACAGACTATAAATAGATATAATATCTTTCAAGGCATTAAAGGAGACATTACAAAATAGTTGTTAGAAAAAGGGGCACTGGGTCTGATAAGGTGGAGATTTGCTGAAGGATCTTTCAACTACCTAATCCTGATCCTTTCTGGTAAACGGATGAGAAGCCTTCAGCCTTCACACAGGTCTCCCTGCCACCAGTTTTGGTCTGCTTCCATTCTACACTCCTCGCTGCCTTGAAAAGACGGTCCTAGAATGCAAACATGGTTCTCTATTGTCTTTGAGCACAAAGCTCAGATTCCTTAGCTTGCCTTGCGCTTTGGTCCTTTGGCTTGTACGGACCCTTGAGGGTCAGTCCCTGCTCCCTCTCCAACACCATCTTCAATCCCTCTCTTCACTTGCACTTTACCCTCTAGTCCTTGCAAACAATATCCTGCTCTCTCGTGTCTCTGCTGCTCTGTCTGCCTAAAAGCCATCTCCCTGTGTGGCCAACCTTATTTGCTCTTTGAGACTCTGAGACTCAGTTCAGAGTCACCTCTGCTGGAAGCCTTCCCACCCTCTCGGCTGAGTTGGTTCTCCTTCTCTGGGTGTCCAGTCCCTGGTGCTCATCTCTGTCACAGCACCCATCACACTGCGTGGTAAATGCCTGGTTATTTTGTCCTCCCTCGTTAGACTATGAGCCACCTACTGGCAGGAACCTTTTATTTTTTTCTCACTCCCTTCTGTGCCTACCACAGTTCCTAGCATACATCAGCATCCATAAATGTGTAAGACTGGACAAAGACCCTCCAAGAAGGTGAATGAGTCATAGTGGAATAAATGTCTGCACCGCATTTTTCCAAGTGTGCAATTAAACTCCAAGTCCTGTAAGTGCTATGGTCTCTGATGATTCTCCTGTTGGCGGCAGGTTGTTGTTATTTTTCTCCATCTCTCTCTCTCTTTTTTTTTTTTTTTCCACTAGAAACTAACAGATGGGCTGTGCACACTTTTCTGGAGAGAGCTATCAGCATGTCTCTCTGGCTTTATGCCATCTGCTCCAGATCAAAGTACAATATTCAAAAGAAAAAGAGGCAGCACAGGGTAACTGGGTATCATGTTGGGGAACTCGCAGGTCTCATTTTCTTTTCCTGGGAGGGTGGGTTCCTTGCAGCCTGGCCTCTCCCTAGGCCTGTGGTCTCTGAGCTAAGGCTCTCAGCAACCTGAGGTTGTGTGTGTCCTGATGGGACACCTCTGTGGCAGGACTGCAAAATCACCAGACAAGGGGAGCCACTTGGTGGCTGTCACTACATCCACTTAACAGCTTATTAACCGTTTACTCATTAACGCTC